TGTTCCAGTGCTAAAATAGATGCAACTTTTTAGTACCATCACTATAGAATGTTTTTCTCTATCAAAAATAGACAGATAAGTACATGCTAGGCATTTATGCATTCAAGTATTTGTAGGTCGTACGATGTATCGCCGATTAGGGTAGGGAGAGCCAATGAGGGAGTCGTACGATGTATCGCCGATTAGGGTAGGGAGAGCCGATGAGGGAGTCNATGAGGGAGTCGTACGATGTATCGCCGATTAGGGTAGGGAGAGCCGATGAGGGAGTCGTATTTTGTCAATAGGGATTTTGATTTCTGAGTTGGAAGGAGACGATGGGCAAATACAATGGGCTGGACGCATTCTCTAGACTAAATTAACAGGCCAAAGCCCAAACCCCAAAATACATGTATATAAAACGGGGCGGGACGGGAAGCTTGCAATCTGATGTAGTGATGTGAAGTAATCTATGTTTGAGAGCATTTGGGGTGATGGGAAACTTGTCTTAACTACCGAGCTTGCATGTTTAGCTGTGACAAAAACAATGAGCGATGTGTTTGTTAATCCAACTTTTAGTTTTCTTAAAATGGACTTGCTATTTTCTTTCTGCAGTGGAATGYAAATCACAGAAGCACTAAAACTGCAGATGGAGGTGCAAAAGCGACTGCATGAGCAATTGGAGGTTATATTTCTTTGAACATTCTATAATCCAATCAGTGTTATACTCCTACGATTTATGTTTCTTTTACCAGGTCTCTCACTCTCTCTAATTAATAATCATATTATTGTTTGAAATAAGATTTCTCATGCAGAACATCCTTGTAATATTATGTTCTAAATCAGTTATGATTGTGAATTGCAAGCCCCTTATAAGCTCTTGGTGGTTGTTGGTTTTCAATAACTTTCCATCATGGCTTAGATGTTTGGAGGTTATGTGATTAGTCTATTGTTTTTCGCCTACAAATGGTATTCAACTATAGGTTTGATATTGGATTGTCATTCACCTTGCCATGTGACATTATGGTTTTTTGTCTGTATTAAGCCCTAATAAGGCTTCAGGAATTTAATTGAGGGATTTTGTAATGTTATGTTAAAATTATGAGTTACTAGCCCTTTTTAAGCCTTTGATAATGGGCCATTAATCATTTTCTTCCATGGTTTTATATGATTTGGATATGACTCAGGTTTAAGCAAGGGAGCTTGTAATGTCATATTACTTAAAAAGCTTTGGGTGTTAAAATATTAGTATAATAGCAAAAGTTTGGCTTGCCTATCTTTTTCTAACTTATTTTTGTGGTATCTCCCTTCAACCACAAGTCCACAACCACCATCATTCCCAGCAAAATGTCCCTTGATATCAAGGCATAGGATCGAAGATGAGGTGTCATTGGTATTTAGTTTTATGGAGTAAGATTTACATTCGTCTTACGTTCAAGGTTCTAAATGTCTCTATTTTTGTTCTTCAGGATGTATGCTTGAAGTGGAAACTTAAATGCATCATAATATTGGGGATCGTAGCTGGAGTAGGATTAACCTCACACAATGACACCAAGGACACAAGGATCAAATTCCTAAGAAAAAGATCGACCAGACATGGAATATTTAACTACCGAAGCAAGGTGATTTCTACAAGACCAAGATATCCCTGTAGGCTAGGATTATAATACTTTTTTTGAGTTCTGATAACCCCGCAGAAACACACAGGGTAGCTTTCAGGAGTTTGGCATGTCTAGGACGACAATTGTGGCCATGACAAACACAACCAAAGATTTTGGGACTAACATGGAAAATGTTCTGGAAGGAAGTAATTCTAACATGGAGTTTTACCCTTTTAAAGGTAGAAGTAGAATGCTGCCATGGAATTTCATCGACTTCAAACTTGTATTGAGCATTTCTGTGAATAAACAATGTACATGTTGGTTTTTGCATTCAGCAAATACCAGTCACTTGAATGTGAAGGCACAATATGAAACTTTTTATATCATCTGCAGTTCTGCACTACGTATTTTATAAGCATAAGTCTCTTGCATGATTTCCAGTGACCATGAAACTCTTCTTTGGAGTTATTTAAAACTTCCTGGTTAAATGAACAATGATTAGTAAGCTCTCTTAGTAAGCGATGATAAGAATGGATAGTCTTACCCGGTAAGTAAGGGTGACGACTTTTACCTGGGTAAGCGTTTATCAGGTAAATTGTTGCATAAATACGTTTTGATAGCCCTATAATTTTACCCGGTAAAATAAATTATAGTATTGACTCCTAACGGTAAATGCTTACCGGGAAAACTTTTAGGTAAACGGCCTTTAAATCACAACAGCGGATAAATATTATCCTTGTATTTAGTTTTGTAGAATCATGTGCAAGTAATTGTTTCTTGCATCGACATTATTTAAATTGTTTGTGGCATGATAACATTATATCTTTGAATAATATTTTGGATGGATGCATTTTTCTGTATACTTTTTAATCATTTTGGAAACAAATTTGACTTGGGAGTAGGAATAACCCAAAAAAGTATTAGCGAGAAGATTTGTCGTTCAACGAGACTGTATGGTCGCTCATAATCTTATTCATTGCACCCATAATTGCACTAACAAGTGGGTTTGTATTTTACGGATGATTGAAAAAAATATGAGAATTAATGTTTTGGATCGGTAGATATTTGAATCTAACTTACATACAAATGTAAGAAAAAAATTACGAGAACCATTGTTTGTTTGTGGCTTTATAATATCTTAAGCAAAAAATTGATATTTTAAAATAAATAAATCTTAATGAATTTTTTGTATTCCGCCGTATTGCGCGGGTATACAACTAGTAAGACAAAGAAACTTACCACCATGTCCTTCTTTAATTATAAAGGGGATATTAATTTAAATTATTGAAATAAAAAAAATTAGGAAATTGAAATTGATTATTTCAAAGATTCTTAACATTTTTATGGTTATTAGTTTATATTTTTATTATTTATATACAAATTGTGAAAGGAAAAAAACCAAACCATTTAAGCTTAGTGGACTGGATTACCTAACCTCCGAAAGGGTAAAAACGTAATTTCACATAAGGTCATTCACGTCTTGTGTCATATTCCTGATGTACCCCCGAAGCAAACTGTGGCCTTTTATCTTCCATCCGTGTATAAATACAACCAACCACCTTCAAATAAACCTTCAAGCTCAAACTCTCCAATGGCGATTTCATCTTCTTTTCCCTTTTTACCCTTCTGCCTGCTGTTATGGGCTTTTACCGTATATGCTAACGGATGTTATACCTCCATCATAAGCTTCGGTGACTCGTTAGCTGATACCGGAAACCTCAAACAACTTGTCGCGAAATCAAATGGTCGACCGCCCCATTTCATGTATCCGCCCTACGGTGAAACGTTCTTCCATAACCCCACCGGCCGCTGCTCCAATGGCCGTTTGATCATCGATTTCCTTGGTACACGTTCTTTTTCTTGTTCATTATAATCATGATATCTGACATCTTTGGTCTTTCTGATCAGTAATTGGACACAAATTTCATGACGGGTTTGATCCCTTCACGGAAATGTACAGTGGATACGGAATCGAGCTTTGTAGAAAAAAAATAATATCAGTTGTGTAAAAAACTTCGATTTATTTGACTCATTTTCTTTAACGGTAATTCAGAAGTTTCAACATGAAGTCTCTCTTTTTCCTTATCATCCGTAACAAATATTATTAACCGACTTTGGCGTAATTTCAACCGAATATTCGCTTGAATTAATGCTTTCATCACGTTTTCTTTTATAATTTAATCGAACGTGGTTTTCGAGTCTTTTTCCGATATAATAGAATCTTTTAAAGGTAATTTGGCTTTGAAGCAAGTATTGTTTGCACCATACATAAATGTCACATGATAGTAGGAAATGCCGGTTAAAACGATGGCAAAATAAGTGTATTATGAAAAATTGAGTTTATAGAACAATTTTTTAAAAGTGTCATATAAAGTTGCCTAATGCGACATTTTATATTAAAAATATCCTCAAAAACTTGTTAAGCCATCCAAAAATGTCATATAAATTTATTATAATACATTTAGATATGACACTTTATATTTTGGTCTTATAAATTAAGTCCTATAAAACGGTCTATTGGGACACTTAGAGATTGTGGGCATCCTATAAACCTAATTTTGTTGTAGTGTTAATTTTTCATAGATGTATTTCAAAAATATTAGTTTTAATTAAATATTTTATAAGATAGTACATATATTTTAGTTACGGACTTATTTACGATTTGTTGATGATTGTTTTTGAAGCTGAGAATTTGGGGATGTCATTGATTCCGCCGTATGAGAGTGTGAAATCGAGCATGGAGGTGATAGAGAAAGGACAAGGTGTTAATTTTGCGGTGGCGGGTGCAACTGCATTGGATTCAGCGTTTCATGAAGCACAAGGGGTTTACAATGCTTATACGAATGCGTCTTTGAATGTGCAGTTGGGATGGTTCAAACGATCGTTGCCCGCTATTTGTGGCAACCCCTCAGGTAATCGAGTTCGGCCTATACTCACCTAAATTTAGAATAAATTTATCATCGCTTAACTGATATGACATTTAATTCATGTTTTTAAATTATAATTGATTGTTTATATATGTGATTTTATGCTCACTAAATATAATGAACATTAACCAAAAGAACCTATAAAATCTCTCAAAACAGTAGAATTCAGTTAAAGCCATATGAGATAACTTTATAAAGCTTTAATTTATCATAAAAGTACACCTAGTCAACAAAAATCCTAATATATATATATATATATATATATATATATATATATATATATACTAGAAGGGTGCTCGTGCAATGCATCGAAACATATTTCAATTTCAATGTCTCGTTTTATTATTTATTTATGTCGATATAATATGGTTTTATGTTACTTTGAGAAAACGATAATGTTTTTCTTTTTGAATAAAATATATATTTTAATATATCATAAAATTTAAAAAAAAAAAATATAGATATTAGTATTAAATTAACTATCTAAAAGTTCTTGTTTTGTGTAATTTCTTTAATTCAAATTTTTTATTATAATTTAATTTAGGTTTA